ACGCTCCGGAGGAAAGGACGTCCCATTGCACTTAAAACTCATTTCCCTGCTTCTCGTGGTTTCCTTGCGTCTCTCCAAGCTTCCCTGGTGGGAGGGACTAGACGCAGGGAAACGACGCAAGGAATCCATTTAACCGAAGTGAGACGCAGCTTCTAACTCCCCACCCACACCCAGACACTCACTTCCAGCACCAGACGCTTTTTACGCTGCCATGGACAATCTTGCACTAACGCACATTCCCAAAGATATTGAAGATATTTAATGTGTGCATATGTATAAATGTGTCTGTTGATTGTGTAAATATAGAATATACATATTTGTATTTTTGTGTTGGGGATTATGGGAAACGGTCTTTCGAACCCTCTGTACACACACAAACTGAAAGATTGAAAATAAAGTGTAGAAGGAATATGAACCGAAGCCTCTGAGCTCGTCTCACCTTCCCGCTGTTTTTGGGTTCGGTGAGGAACGTCAGGATCCTGTCGACGAGATCCGAGTGGGTTCCTTTCTTCTCCAGATCCAGAACCCCGCAGACAACCTTCAGCTTGGTGTTGGTGAAGTTGGAATTCCTTCATTCAAAAACAAGGTCCAGTGTTATTATAGCAAACCCTGATTCCACACCACGACCGAGCCGAGTCTCCGCCACAGACACTTACTTCAGAAGTTTGTCTCGTTTCTTTGTGAACTCTTCGCTGTCCGCGGCAAAGGGAAAGCCGTTAAACAGACGCAGGTTCTTCTTTAAAATCGCCGTCTGATGAACAAACAAAACATGTAGTTAAACATATTTTAATCTGCTTTATTTCAAATTGGATGGCAACTCATAACAGTGTTCATTTTGGCAGCTATTTTAGATTTAGTCTTTAGTCGAAAATGGTTGTTAGTTTTAGTCACATTTTATCCTTCATAGTTTTAGTCGATGAAAAATCATTACATTTTAGTCCAGTTTTCGTCAAAATGTTTTCTCTCTTTAAACTAATTCAGTTCGGCAAATACAGGAATCTGAGATTGGAATCAAGGTGACAGTATCAAGTGTTGAAATTCGTAAAGCAACATTTCACTCTCTGAAGACTTTACTTTTAACGGTACTACTACTCTTAAAAATCTGTGTGCAGGCCGCTGCAGGGTGTCTGTTAGGCCCCGCCCCCGCACACAGAGAGAGAGTGAGAGGCCCCGCCCCCCGCACACAGAGAGGCGCCCGCCAGATGAGAGCACAGACNTCAACATTGTGGTTATTATGTTTAAAGGTGACCTATCATGCAAAATGCACTTTTGTACGTCTTGTGTTCCCTGGAACACCGGGGACACATATTCATGTATACAAGACGTACAAAAGTGCATTTTGCATGATAGGTCACCTTTAAACATAATAACCACAATGTTGATACAGTATAACAACACTTTTTGGAGAAACACTTCAAATAAGACAATAAAACGAGAAAAACACAAAGCAATTAAACATAAACGGCAAAAGATTAAAAAAGAAGAGCAAAAAAAAGAAATCATTACATTAAATGCGGTGTGGATTAGTTTGGAAAAAGTGTTCCATATAAATGATAAAGAGTTATCAAGCAGGTGCAGTGCTTATCAAAGTTTCGGAATTAAAATAAGTGGTACTTTGTGCAAACAGAGTTTTGTCATATGTAAATGAGGCGTAGAGAAAAGCAGGCTTTTAACTCCCACTGAGGCGTACCGCAACTACTTGGAAGGGAAAACAAGGAAATAGAAGTAATGAGACAGACAAGAGAGAAGCCGGTGAGGAGCAAACTAAACCTGTAGTGTTGATCAAATCTGAAACAATTGAAAACAACTTTTTTTTGTATATTATCTATGGTTTTAAAGCAGATTAGGGTAGGCGATAAGATGTATATATTAAAGGATGCCAACAGTATTTCTTTAGAACATCTTTTGAAATTAAGGACAGCACTATAGAGAGAATCCAGGGAAGTAAAGAGGGAAAGTGAAGAAGGAGAAACAAGGTATAAAGAGAGAGCTGGAAGGAAAACAAAGCACAAGAAGAAACAGATGAACTGAGCCAGACATGGTCCTTTTGGAGATATGCAGAGAGAAATTAGAAAAGGGAAAAGGGCAGTAACAAAAGAAACACTAATAACGCTCTTCATATAGCAGCCCCAATTATCTACCCAAGGACTGTCTAAATACAGAGAGAGGGACAGAGCTAAAGAGAGGGGTGTTTGGAAAGGAAAAAAGAGGGGGAGAGACATTAACCCAGAAAACGTTGCTAGCTGCTGTTCCACACTTTCCTGATCTTTTGCTGTTGGAGTATTTTCAGTGTATTCCTTTTGGGGATTGCAAATTACAAGCAGCCACCATCAGACCCATAAATTACTACCAGCAAGGAAACACTGATTCTCATCAAAATCTGCAAATGACAAGCTGCTAAAAGCCAAATCCTGGCAAATAAAGCCAACTGTCGCTCAAATAATATTGAATGACCTTTTTGCCAGAAATAAAGTACTGGTGAATTCCAACCAGGAAAACGCTGATGCCTCTGGGCTCATTCATGTGGGGAAAAAGGTCATTTAAAAATTCAGTTTTCTAGCTGCCAGTTATTTGCACGGAAGATAAAACCTTCCAAAGCTATAAATATTGAAGGCAAAAATACTTCTAAAAGGCTTGTAACAACACTGTTATATATACACCGGTGTGCAAGGAGATGTGTATAAGGAAAGGGCAAAGAGTTTACAGTGTAGTATGCTCATGATCTCTAGAGACAATTACCTATCTGACTAACTAACCCAGGAATTAGTGTACTAAGATGTCAGTTTGTGCGTGTACTTGAATGTCTTACCTATACATCGCGGTAATATGTTGCTCCACACTCGCCTGCCCCCTCCTAGACATGTGATCTTGGTGTCTCCCTCAAGTCGGTAGCCATTAAAACAACTGAAGGCCAGCGAATCGCCAACTCGAAATCTGAATCCCGTCCTCCTGCTGTATGCCGGTACACCGGGATCCTCACATGGCTCTAAGTCATACTCTACACGTCCAGGAGAAAACAAAAACATTATTGAAAAGTAATTCTAAAACATTAAAGGTCCCCTATTATACTGTTTTTCATCAACATATTATAGGTCTCAGACGTACAGTGGGGCAAAAAAGTATTTAGTCAGCCACCAATTGTGCAAGTTCTCCCACTTAAAAAGATGAGAGAGGCCTGGAAAATAAGTATTTGGTCA